GAGGGTAGAGAGGGTGATTTACGACTAGAGAAAGACTGCTAATAGAAATCACAAGGATGAAGAGAAATAGTACAAGTAATAAAAAGAATAAATAAATCTTCTTACTACAAGAAAATGGCGTTTAATTGGAAAAATATGATAATAAGAAGTGATGAACCATTACAAATGAGCTTCTTCTTTTAAAAATCTCAATTCTTCTACAACTTTAAGCTTGAATTCTTTTCTTGGTAATTTTTCACATATTTATTAATCAAAAAAATTCTTACTTACCTTCTAAGTTATTAGAATTGCCTCACTCTTAGTTAATGCATCAAAATATGAACTAAAATCAATTCCTACTAGTTGGAAGTCTATTCTAGTTTATAAAAAGTGAATCAACTATGTAATTTTTAGAAATTATAGCTATTAGTCAAATCCTAATTAAATTCCTTCTTACTCTTCTTAAATTACTTAATTAATCAAATCAAACTTCTATTATTAACTCATACTTATAATAATAATTAACTTACAAATCCATACCCAAAGAATTTGATTCTATTAACTATTTATTATTTATTTCTTTATTTAAATAAAATTTATCCATTAATAAAAATAATTTAAGTATATTTTATCATCTACAAACAACTTCTCATCTATGAATAATTTTTAATCTAAGCTTAAATTTTATCCATATTAAAACTTCATCCTTATTTTAAATTTTTATTTAATATAAAAATCATCCATTTTAACCTAATTCCATTCTAATTTAATTCACTTGATTGAATATAACTTATTCTTAGTCTAATTCCTCATCCAACCTAAAATATCTACTTTAAAAATCTTATGGATCTATGCTTGATGGAGTCAAATTGTAATCATTGTTTTTTGCAACTTGCTTCAACACTATCAAAACTCCTTACATCGATTGACAATTTTTTTCTTTGAAACCATGCATACAAAATCTAGACTAGTATTAAAATTTTACTATACTTTATAGCTTGCCATAGTGTTGAATCCATGATAATTATCCACATGATGATGATGATATAATACTCCATTACAATAATAAAGAATTGTTAAACAATTGAAAAATTGTAGTCCATCTTTGGGAGAAAAAGGATAATAGTTTGCCTACAATAATTTATAATAAGCACTTAAATTCGAATTCAACATTGCCATTGAATACCAACAAGAGAGAACGTGCTTAAAGAAGATTTAATTGGCAATATTTGTACATAAGATCCAAGACTAATAAATAATAAATTCTATATTTTTGAGGTCTAGCATTGTCAACATTGTAGAATATAAAAGGCCATTCAAAGCCTTGCTCGACCTAAATGTGAGTCAAGTTATAGTTATGTAGAAATAAGATGCAAATATACAATATTCTATTAGAAATTTAAGTAACAATATAATATCAAGGTGTCCAATAGCACTTGTCTTGAAGCGTTAAGGATTGTCAATAGTTTCAATTCTACCAATAAAAACTAGCCATTTGAATCTAACTTGAATCTCATATAGCATTTTTTTTTTCAATGCAACTTTAATTGACTTTATCAAAAGATTTATATAGATTAAGCACCAATACAAAGTAGAGTTTAAAATCCAAGCATGTTTTTTCTAAGAATTCTCCACTCACCACATTTCATCTCTTTTCTACCTATTCTCTTTGCCTTCTTTTGAATATTTTTATTCTTTTTAATTTTATTTCATTTCATTTTTTTTCTTTAATTTTTCTACCATAAAATTACAAAATGTCTCTTTATTATGCTAATTCCATATCTGAATAATGCACTTTAGTCGACACTCAAGCAAAAGCATAGAATTATACATCCACATCAATATTTATTTTTGTTAAGCTTGAACAATAATTATTAGTAAATAAGATGTTATTTTTTGGTTATTCTATGATTGCTTTAACAACATGGCCTATTACATACATGTACAGCAACAAATTATATCTAATAATATATAAATGATTCAACACTTCAATGATCCTATAACACTCTTCATCTCTCACTTTTATTTTTCCTGGACAATCTTCCAAAGTATCTTATTCTACAAGAACAAGTGACAAAGCTTAACAAATTATGAATCCTAAGACTAAAATTACATATATTAAAAACCACAAATCAAATTCAATTCCATGCATTCTATTGAAATGGCTCTAGAATCCACAAATTACTACTCAAATTATATATTGAAGATAATGAAGATTTAATACATGACTTGTGAACGATGAGACTTCTTAATTAAGAAATAAGAATAAGAAAAAAATAAAAAGAGTATACTTGACTATTGTAGCACCACTACAAACACTACAACTGCCAAAAGGAATCAGTTATCTTATTAATATCTTAATAAAATAACAAATACTCCTACAGCTATACACACTCATATAAAAACCATACTTGAAGAACTTTGTAATTTTTAGAGTTTCAAACTCATCACATAAAAAATTCAAAAAAAAAGTAAGGAATCTAAGATGGCTTGGTATCAAAGACATAAAACTTGAAGAAAG